CAAAACACAGGCTTTCGTATGAACCGTTCAATTTAGCCCCCCCCCCCCCCCCCCCTAAATTGATACTATCAATACTACGCTGGTTTCTGGCCCTGGACTGCCTCTCTGCTCAAAGCAAAACTAAACTCAAGCTCTGCTACGCGAGCTTTCGTGATAAGCACAAGGCGACAAAAATGATGCGGTGGCTGAGCAGGCCTTGGCTGGTCACGCTGGGTCTCGGAACCGACCTGGGCCACGATTTCGACGTGGGGTCAAGGCCTCACGGCGGCCTCTTAAGACCCGGAGGTCTACTGTGGGTCTGCAGACTCGGATTCCGCAAGGCTCCGATCGCCCGCTGCTTCCTAGTCAAAACGTAAAACACCAAGCCGTCGGCATTGTAGAATCGAGTGAGCCTCAACGGACTCAAGTGGCTCAATGACCGACGGCAGTGACAGTAACAACTCCAAAGCTGAGATGCCCGCGAGGTCAACGAGTCGCACTCTGACGCTGTGCACCCAGCTTGAAGGCTTCTTCAGAAGCTGCGGGAGAACATCGGGGAACAAGACGGTTGCAGCTGAGACTGAAACAAGTTGCCCTTGCACGGTGAAAGAAGTTAAGACTCACTGGATCGCATGAAGCTGTTTTGCTCAGCAGAGCGGAGCAAGACTCTATGTGCACAATCTTGGCTGTAGCCAAGAAGTCAATCACTGCGCACAGGGGCAGCATTTGTGTTTTCATTTTTTCGAGTCGCCCTAAGTACTTGTCGGCAAGGTTATCGGGAGCTGGATGGAGCTGGAGCTGTAGGGCAGCGATTCAGGTCCCCAAAAGTGCAAAGCCGCCCCACTTCGTCCTAGTCTTGCCCAATCCCTTCGGAGGAGTCTGTAGTTACTAGCATCCGGCGTTTAATCGCGTGACATCGTCTGCCTCCTTAGGTGGCGGAGCGGAGCACTGCCAGCACCGCTTCTCGGCTGCAAAACGACTCAATGCCCGCCAAAACCCGGCTCTCGTCTCGGTCTTTGCATGTCGGACCCAATAAACCACTAACGACCCCGCCACCACTCCTAATCATGACGCGTCTACCCTCAAGCATGCTGGCAGCGGTCCACTCGAGCCGCTCATTAACAGAGTGCGGGGTTTCAGGACTTGGCTCAGAGCTCGTCGTCCTCGGATCAGAGGCTTCAAATACTCACACTCGACGACTCGAAGGAAAGTATAGTCACAAGGCCAAGGGAAGCGTATGTTGGGGCCTCGATCATGATCTTGCCTGCTGCCGCCCGCAGCTTTTGTGCCTGTGCATCGGGGTGGGGTGGAAAAATGTGGTAAGGAGAGCTTTCAAGGCTTCACTCCAGAGCATCAGGGGCAGCTCCAACTAGTCGAGCGAAGGCCCTCTCCCGCAGGCCGGACCTCCTGCTTGGCCACGGCAGCATCTTTGGCGAGCCTGGAAGGGCCGCAAAATCCAAGGCGGAGGTTGCTGCGCGCGGCGCGCTCTCTTTGATGCAGCGCCCGCCTGGCGGCCTCCATGGAAGCTTGCTGGGCGTCCCGGTCGGCTTGCGCAGAGTAGTCCTGCGCAGCCGGACCCTTCGAAAGAATGCTGTCCGGTACTACGTGCCCAGTTCCCAAGATTACGTCAGTCACTCCCTGGAAAACAAAGCCGTTCTGCTACGGTATCCACGAATCTTGCCAGGAGCCCCTGCGAGGCTAGTCCAAAATTAACAGCACACTGGCTTCGAATTCGGGGTGGGAGCCAGCGCCGCGAGGCTTCCAGCATCCCGGATACGCCGAGCGGGGTCCGGGCCTTGTAGCGCTCCGCTGCCCCGCCGGCCTCCAGGGAAGCCTGCTCGGCCAGCTCGGCCTCAGCCAAGGCCCAGGAAGGCCCAAAGGCCCAAGCTCGATGTGCGTGCAGGCTTCCTTGCGGTGCGTGTCGAGTCGCCTCCTTCATCTTCGCCTGAGCCTCTTCGTACAAAGCCTTCGCCTGGCACCATCATCCAAGCTCCATGCATGTTGCAAGGCCGACCAAACAGCTTTACAAAGCCGCTGGATGATTGCCGAGCTGACAAGTCTCCGCTTTTTCCTGAGTGAGCGACCCGCTTCTGCTGCTCCTGCAGTGCCAAGCCGACCTGAACAGACAGGCTGAGTCCCTTAATGCCATGGCTGACCTTAGCATGCAACCATATGCAACCCAAAGAAGCAGTTCACGAGCTTCCCGGGCTCCAGGCCTCTTCGGCTTTTCTCTTGGCATTTTGCAGCCGCTCGTTTGCTCGAATGGCCTGTGACTGCGCGCCACCGTGTCTCTGCGTGGAAAAACATCGCTTCTGGCTTCTTGCTGGGCTCTTGCATCTGCTGCAGAAACGTCTTGAAATGGCAGGCAGCCTCCTTTTGCTTCTCCAGCGATGCTTGCTCTGCGGCAACAGCCTTCTTTTCAGCCTTCACTGGTCTCTCTCCAAACTCGAACAAAGGGACATCCGCAAGCCTGTTGCACATAAACGGCGAGCGGCGCACCTCGGACCGGGCCTGCTCCCTGCGTGTCCGGTCGATATCCCTGCGGGGCCGTCGGCTTCTCAGCAGCTTCGGGAAGTGTGTCCAGACTCCAGGTGCAAGGGCCGACCGTAACTCAGACACGTTGTGGCTTCCCTCTTCGCATGCTTGCCACGCCACGGATTGACGAACACAGGGTCATGCAACTCTTGTGGAACAGTCTCGCTGTGTCGGGCGACTGCCGCTCTCTTTCTTTCTCTGGGCATGAGAGGCGAGGCCCACCTCTCGTCTAGGGGCGAGCTCCTGCTGACCCTCTGTTGAAGGCCCGCATGGTTGCAGCTGGGTCCTCGAGCTCGCGTGGGCAATTCTGTCTGTGGAAAGCAACAGCGATAGCCCAATGCCCCGAAGTGTGGATGAGAGCATCGCGATGAGAGGAAGAGGATCTCGCCCTCGCTCTGTCTCTCTCTCTCTCTCGCTCTGATTTTGCAGTCGTGCAGTCTCTGCGAACTGTATATTGGTAGGGAGCTCAAGGATGAATCTGAAGGGGGCCCTTCCCAAGATTTCAAACAACGCCTTAGTGCCGGCGCAATCGATGGTTGCGGTGCACCTCGGCAAGGGGATGAGTCTGCTGAACTTCGATTTTGTCCTGGAGGGAGGAAACCCGCAAACAGCAAGCTTGCACCTAGCATTCTGTAAGTTATAGCGGGCAGCATGCGGCCAGAGTGGCTCTGGATGGTGAGCTGGCCCGGAAGCGCCTCGCCGTCGCTCCTCACAGACATTGCGGCTGACTGCTCCGCAAATTACGGTGAAAGCATCCGGCTCGAGGATCTCTGACTCGCAAGTCCAAGTCTGTGCCAATTAACAACATGAACTCGACGAAACTACAACAGCTCTTTGGCTGCGAGTCGACTGAGAGCCATTTGCAGCAGCACCACCACCAGTCAGTCCTTCGGCTGGCAGGGTAGTCCTGGCAAAGGACAGGCACCATTCCCCATCTTCTTTTTGAGTTGCTGCAGGCAGCAGGTCCACAGGGTCTTTCTTGGCTGGGAGAAAAGTTTGCCTTGCTTCGGCCATACTGGACATGTCTGTTTGCAGCCGATTTTCTGGGTCGTGCTTTACGCTACAAATCCGGATCATTCCAGATTCGAGAACTGTGGGTCAGAGCGAGGAGGCCACACACATGTCAATCTGCTTGCACACGACGAGCTCCCAAACACTCAGGAAAAGCTGCTGGAGCTGCAAATGCACACAGGACATTTCACAAAGATTCACAACACGTCTTACGATGTGGTGTTCCGGTGTTAAGAGCCGCGGTCACAAAGACTGAAAACCCTGCTCGAGTTCTGCCTGCTGGCTCTTGGCATCACGCCTCCAGCGGGAGAAACAGCACGAAACTCATCGCTGAGGGCACCAATCCACTTGAACACGACTTTTCAGGGTCTGGTGCGAGTCGGGAGAATCAATGTTAGTTGCGGGATGCTTGATATCGGGTCTGAGGAGAGCTTGCGGACCTTTGTAATTTGGCTTCCTGCTTGCAACTCCGACATCCTACCCTGCGTCTTCAACCCTGCACAAGATGCAAGCGGTGGCAAGCCCGCGCCACCACAGGCGCGCTAAGAAGGAATCAGTTTATTCTGAAAAACATGGAAAACTATCTTTCCGATGCAATTGAGCTTCAGCTGCTGTCTTCCTGGAACATATCTAACCTAATCCAGCTCAGTGCGCTAGAACCGCATGCGAGATAAATGCAAGCCAAAGCATTACCTGATTGAGAATTTCCTACTCAAGTTCCGCTTCGCGGGCCTGTCTTGCGCTTGGACTCGACCTGCATGCACACGGACAGCTTGCAGCATGCCAGCCAAGAGTTTCGGCAGGGATGGGATTCCTGCGTTCCTGGAAGCCCGTGAGACCACAGGCCACCGCCAAAATCACCCCCGAACCGCTGTTCTGCCAGGGCCCAGGCTCCGAGAACGGGTCCTTGCAGGGATACAGGGACCTCTGCTTGCAGTGCATGAAATGAAAGCTGAAACTAAAGCTGATCCGGCGGAGTCCTCTCCATCCGGCTTCGATCGTTTTCGCGGAGCTGGCCACCCTGCACACATCGCTAACAGGGCTAAGGGTAGCGGTTTTGGCTTGGCGAGAGTTTAGACCCAAACTCTTTTGGTGAGTGCAACGTTAGTTCGTCCCACTGTCGACAAGACTTGAAGGGAAAACAACGGATTTATGCTTGAGTGTCGCCTCACGGCGTTTGCTTGCATTGCCGTGTGTAAGCTGTCACAGACCTTGCACATACATGGCACCTAGCACCTAGCATGGGTGGCGAGATCCGGCTGGCACGTGCCGGTCTATGTCGTCGCGACTGTTGTTCTTCTCGCCTGACCCTCATGCTGCCCTCACATGTACAAATCGACGCATCCTTCCAACGAAAACCCGAACATCGGCCTCTGACCAGCGCTCTTCGCGGGGGCGCTCCCCGCCTGGACATGGCCAAGGGGCACAAACGGCACAGCCGACTCTCAGAGCCCACGCCTCGCCGGTCGTCACGCCTCTCCTCATATCTCCGATCATCTCGGCGCTCTTGGCCACGGTCGTCCCGTCGGTCATCTCGCCGATCATCGCGTCTGACTTCGCGTCCGTCTTGCCGACCATGATGGGATCCATCATCATAGTGCCTGGAGCCCTGCTGCTCTTTCGCAGGATCGCGTCGGTAATACTCCTGACGATTGTCCCAGCGCTGCTCCTGTCGTCCATACCCATCACGATCCGCATACCGCTCCTCTCTGCGATCACCTCTGCGGTCACCTTGGCGATCGTCTCTCCTCTCATCTCTTTCATATGCTCGATCTTCTCTTCGCTCGTATCTGCGATCGTCACGCCCGTCATCACGGCGATCTTCCAAGCGAACTGTGCGTTGTTGGCGGTCATCACGATGTTCCCTCGGATCTCGCCGATCATCTCGACGCTCATCTCGCCGCTCGTCCCTCCGGTCCTCTCGCCGGTCATCTCGGCGATCCTCGCGGCGCTCGTCTCGCCGGTCGTCTCTGCGCTCATCTCGACGATCGTCCCGGCGTTCCTCTCGACGATCTTCCCGTCGGTCATCCCGGCGGTCGTCTCGTCGCTCTTGTCTGTCATCCCGGCGCTCTTCGCGACGGTCTTCACGCCGCTCCTCCTTACGGTCGTCTCGTCGCTCAGGTCTTCTGTCCTGACATGAAGGTGTGCGGCGATTGCAGAAGAACATCACCACAAGATCTGAGGCGTGTCCGTGTCTCTGTATGTGTCTCTTAGGTGCAGGCATGGCCGTGATGGCCCCGCTCGTCCCGGGGCCTCTCCTCACAAGAGAGGCCGAACAAGAACACCGAGAAAGAAGGGCTAACCCGTTTGGGCCTGGCGCAACTCCCTCTCCTTATTCAGCTTCTCCTGCATGTCTGTTTTGCAATTGGGCTTTCGCAGGCTCATGTCCGGCCTCTTTTTCGACTGCAGTGCGAACTGCCGTCTCAACCTGTGCAGAGACGACCGACTCGTAGAGAGTCGTAGAGCGTCTCACGCTGATCACGATACTTGGCCTGGAATGGCCCCGAAGCCTCGGCAGGCACCTCCAGCTGAGTGTTGCGACGGAGACATGTCAAGGTCAGGGTCGTTCCGGACCTCGAATGCAGCGACCTCTTTCGCAAGGCGCATGGCGTCCTGGCACTGCGAGCTTGCAATACCGATTCAGAAGCCAGTGCCACGACCAGAAACCCCAAAGGCCAGAAATCACCCACAACTTGAGAAGAGGGCCACGAAATCTAGGGTAAATTATCGTAGGCATGATCGGCAACATGGACGCAAGCACAAAGGCATTGCCATGAAGCTTGAAACCTGAAAGATGATGGCATTCTTCTGCATTACACCGCCCCACATACAGATACACCCTTGTTGTAGTACCTCGACCGCCCATTGCACTCCGGAATGTCCCTGCATAAGCAATAACTCGGTAGTAGCTTGGCTGAAGCTTTGCGTCATAATGATAAAAAATCTCTCCCCTTCCCACGTTTAACTAATATAAAAAAACATACCAGGTGGGTCACTACTACTTGGGCGAATTGGTGAACGACAACTCCTGCCAAGCTCCACAGAGCTCGCTTTCGTGCAAACTTGCCCAGGTGCTAGCAACACGGTAACATAACAAGTAACTGGCCGCAATACTTAGCCTCCAAAAGTTCCTCAGTCTGTTCAGGCATTCTGCATCCCGTGGCCTCTTCCGAAGCGCATTCCAGGGCCGCCCAGCGCGGGCCGCCCTTGTGACCGTGCACCTCGAGTCAAGTAGAGCATAGTCTGAGCCCCGGGTCCGACATTCGGCGGCAACGGATCTTACAGTTTCTATGGCAGAAGCCAAAATCTGCGTGGCGAGGTGGCCACCTAAGAGTCCTTTTGGGTTGCTCAGGGAATATCTTGGCAGCGGCATCCGACGCCAGAAGATCTACAAGAAAGAAAGCTGGAGACTACGCCGACAAGATGCCCTGCTGCCCTCTACAAGAAGAACACTTGCCCGAGCATGTACCAGCGGAAGTGAGATTGGCTTGCTGCATGGTCTCATGCACAGCAGGGACTTCACAGGGATTTCATGCAATGCACGTGCAAACCATACGATGCTCCATCTGTATGTTTCACCAATTACCACAGGTGAAACATATCTCCAAATAGACACAACCCATACTGCCTTGAATCAGGCTGCGTGCCTACTGCGACGAACCGTCTTCGAAGCCCCGCTCTCGATGCCGTAGGCCCCGGGCTGTAGCTGTCTTCATTCGATCCGAGGCCGGGAAGCGCCGGAACCAGGCATAACTCTTGGCCTTTGACAATATCAACTGAACCCAGCCGTGGAGGAATCAGACAGCAGACTGAGCTGACTACATCCGGGGTGAGGTTGCGAACAATCACGAAGCGCTTGGTGCCACCAACAAGCTGCTCACCTCGGCAGCGGGCTTTGGGTCCTCATGAGGAATTCGACAAGCCCTCGGACTGCTTGGATCCGCGCTGGGCTTCTCGTGCCTGCCTAGCTGCATCGGCTGGCTACTCTGCAGAGCCTGGCATCACACAAAAGAACTGGGAACATCTTCAGGTTACAAGCTCACATTACAAACCCCATGATGGCGGACTCGAAGCTGGAACAACTTTAAGGGGCCGACACGCTGCTGAGCTTGTAATGGTCCGAATTGCGCGTGCCGCTCTTCCTTGTCCGAGACACAGGAGGCACATGGACTGACATTGTCGATGTCGACATTCACAGGAGGCTGTAGCACTCACTTGATGGCAACGGAAAACTGGGCGGGGGACTTCTGAATACAGCTCCTGGGCGACGTATGCAGCGAGCCCATGCGACTGCCGGTATGGGTGGCTCTTGCATTTGAAAACTTGCCTTTGCGAATGGCTCTTTCGATTTCTGCAGCTGCCCGAGGCGCTACCCGAAAGCACAAACTCTTCCAGCATCCTCACACCATCGCATCCCACTCAATTCCCCCTGGCAGGGCACGGCATTCAGTGGCTCCGCCCCAGGCTGCGGGCAGTGACCGCGGACTTTAGCTGCCAGCCTTGGCACACGAAGGCTGACAGATTCAGATGCTAAGAGACGCTTGGAGATCGAGCTACAGAGAGGTCTAGAGTCTACAGGTGCACGCATTTTGGGGAAGGAGCTGGGCAAAAGCTGGAGAGCGGCGAAAGCTCTTCTCAATCCTAGGTCATGCCCCCACCTATGCGCTTGCAACACAGGGCAATAGAGAAAGTGCCAAAAACTCAAGACAAACAAGCGATTAGTGCTTGTCATCTCATCACAGAATGCCAGACCACTTGAAGCATCGCTCCACGGCACTGGTGTCTAACTGCGACAATCCAATGTATTGAGCCTCGAGATGCCTCGAAATCTGTGTCGACATGAAGGCACTGCCGGCCGTCCAAGTGGCTGTTCGGCGATTTCCTGGGAACTCCTTGGCAGCGTGCATGTCGGGCAGAGCCAGGCCAGAAAAACCCGGAACCCCCTCACCCTTCTTATAATCAGCTCTTGCCCTGACAGTGTTATAAAATACAGTGTGGCTGGGTTGGGGCGGCTGCCTCTCTAAGGAGCCTTCGCTCTGGATACCAGCACAGCTGAAAGACGTCGCTGAATGCAGCCTTGATGCATGCACATTAGTGCATACCGTTTTTCCTCAGAAACTTGCAACAAAAGGCATCCAAGCTCAGAAGCAACGCAACAAAGAGCAGGAGATCAAGCTTTCGTAAGTGCAAAGCATTGTTCGTCTCGCCAGTGACCAGGTCTTTGTCGGTTTGGAGCAAGTCGCGCGTCAACTGCGGCTCTCGAATGCTTTCTTGCTACAAGCCTCCCGACAACCCATTCCGAGAAGAGCCCTTCCAGGTGCTTGTTCCAATTGCCAAGTAGATCGAGCCAGAGTAAACTGCAGAGAGCTGCTGCACTTCCTGTGGCCTTCGTATTTCGTAACCCCACACAGGCCTTCTTGATCGCAATGTAGCCAAAGCGTGGAGGAAGTGGGCTGGCATCCATGAGGGCTTGGCTTTTGAGGCTGGGGGCACCCTGCTCTGGAACTCTGCAGGGCCGTAGGGGAAAACTGCAGCAACGCGCCGGTCGCACAAGATCCGCAACCAGTAATTGCTGGTTTCCTCAGCGGTCTCACAGGAGCCCTCTCCACGCGCTCTCTGATGTCGTGCAGAGTTCGAGGTTGGCATGATTTGGCGCTTCGGGGTGCACATTGGCATGCCGCTGGTCACTGGGTCACTGCAAGGCCCGGACTCCACCCTCGCCATCCTCGAGACTGCTCACGAAATCTCGGTGCTTGGCTGTCTGAAAACAACCCTGCCGGAATTGCGACCCCGTCCCTGTGCATGGGTGAATGATGGCCATGCGGGGCCTTGCTTCCCAATGCAACAGCGAAACCCCCTCGACCCAAGTAACAGCTCTGCAGCGAGTCTCGTTTATCGGCCCTTAGCACATGGCTGGAATCCCACATCCCCGAAACCCGCATTCAGGACCACTTTGCTGGTCACACCGCACCCCCGTCCTTCTGCACATCATTCTCTGCTTCTGACCTTGCAAAGGCAGGCCGGCAAATGCAGCAAGGGCAAGGAGCTGACACTTGCTGGAAAGTTATCTGTGTGTGGCACTGTGGCACGGGCCGATGTTGGGGGAATCATGGCATGCTGAAGCTGATCGCACTGAAGCCGTCGGGCCGGATCTTGGCCGGATGCCCTGGAAGCTGCCCAGCAGGAGCCCTGGTTCGTTCGTTTCCTTCCCAGTTTCAAGGCCGCCGGTCAAGTTGCCAAAAGGCCCATCTTGCGGGGATCAAAACCAAGTTTTAGCACAGCTCGAGTCTGGGTGCCTTAGCTGAAAAAGGCTGCCTTGGCTCGCACAAAAGCAGACGGGGGAAGGCAATGCACAGCAGATGACGAAGCTGCACTCTAGAGCAGGTACCCGTCTGCAGGTCTGGGCCGAACATGACTTGACACCCTGCACGAGTGTATCAAGACTTTGTGGAACATGCCGATGGGGAAGCCATGGAAAAACCATGGAAAAACCATGGAAAGCCGTGTCCATGCAGAGAGCGTTCTCCATGATCGCACGACATCACGTCCGACGAGTGGACCGGCTGCACTGCTCTCCGAGTAACGACGCCGCAAAGGTTGCGAAGCAATGACCGTCTGTGTGATTCTAAAGATGCTTCCTGCCTGAAGCCGTGGAAGAGGACTGGGACAGGCCCAGTGTTCATAAAGTCCCTCGAGGTATAGGAAACAAGCCGTTCGCATGCGCGCACAGGTCGAGGCCAAAGGGGTACGGAGCACGAGCAGGCGTTGGTCATGGCAGAGTGATTGTCAAGCCCCATGACTGGCAAGAGACGAATGTGGTGCTCACATGTTGCATGTGCTTGAACGGTCCGAAGAGGCTTCTGCCGCCAGCCACGTTCTCCGCCGCACAAAGAGGTACGAGAGGAGCTCACGACGATAAGCTCAAACTGGAAAGGAGTCCGGCAAGCAACCGTTGGTTGCAGCTTGGGAATACAACGTCGCCTGTGCTCTGCTCCCTGCACTTCTGATCTCTGTCGATTTGCAGAACACCTTGAAACTCTTGTTGTAGAAGCCGCCTGTATGCCACAAGACACTTTTAAGATCACCAGCAAATGCGTCCGCAATATGGGTCATGCCAGCAGCAAGATTGCGCATCAACAGGGCAAAGCTCGAAACATCTCAATTGACGGGATTTTGGAGGTGCTCCTGCATATCAAATTAACTTCGTTAACCCTTGTCTTTATCCTAAAGAAAGCTCACACTGCGGATCTGCAAGCTGCACAGCATGTAAAGGTACGCAAGCCAAACTGCCATGCTACTTTGTGATCCCGAGAAGTGGGTAGCCAATGTGGAAGTTGCAAAACAGAAGCTGAAGAGCTCAGTTTCGTTGGACGTACTCCGGAAGCACCAGAATCCCGTTGGAGCTTTTCAATTCAGGCCGAAGCAGGAGCCGTCAAACTTCACAAAAACGGGCGCTGAGCATCTTGGAAAAATTCACATTGCCCTTCCATGTTTCTCAGGTGATTGTCGCAGCCGTTGCAGATCGTTGCAGGTAGTCGATGTTGCTCTTGGACTCTTCCAGGCGCTAAGACAATCGTCTCCCCTCCAAAACCTCGTGTGTCTCATGCCGTTGCCAGATCTGGTGCAGGTAGTAGAACTTGCCTTTGAGCTCTTCCAAGCGTCAAGGAAAATGGCTTATGTGAAAGGCCTCGCATTCGCTCCATGTTTATCATGTGGTTGCAGGGTAGTAGGTCTCCTTCCATGCCTCACAACAATTCTCCCCCTAAAGGTGCCGCAGCTGATGTACACAACTTGCCAATGGGCTCTTTCGGGCATCAAGACGAACATCTCCCCTCAACAACCTCACATTCACCTTGCATGTTTCGCACGTGGTTGCCACAGCTGATGCAGGCGCTGGATCTTGCCTTTGGGCTCTTCCATTCGTCAAGACAAAAGGCTCCCCTCAAAAATCTCACATTCGTCTTCCATGTTCTCATGCAGTTGCCACAGCTGATGCAGGCCATGGATCTTGCCTTTGGGCTCTTCCAGGCATCAAGACACACGGCTTCCCTGAAAAACTCACATTCACGTTCCGTTTATCATGTGGTTGCCGCAGTTGCTGCAGATGGTGGATCTTGCCTGTGGGCATCAAGACAAACATCTCCCCTCAAAATCCACTCCACATTCAAATCTTCACATTCATGGCGGAAGCGTTGCCCTTTCCACATGTTCCCGTGCACAGGCTTGGACCTGGGAATGAATAAACGACTCCCGTGCACATGGTCTCTTTGTTCTACCCCTCTAGCAGCTTTAGCAGCCTCGCTGGGCCGGGGCTAGTCCAGGCCCGCCGTCAGAGCATGGACCCCCTCTGAGTGCAGAACTGGCTTGCATCTCCTGGCTCGAAACTTTGAGTTAAAGAGCGTTGCGACAATGCAGCAGGCCTCCTCAGGAAGCCTAAGGCATAGCTTCGGAGTGTCCCTAGAACGGCACATCCTAGGTTCCTGGTACGGTCGAGGACATGACGTTGCTGTCCGTCATGCTTCGATGATTCTGCAAACATCCTCACGGGCTTGATCTCAAGAGAAACCGAGGCAGCCAGGCCGTCTGCACCGAAATCCACCTCTTCGGCACACCGCCTTGCAAAGTGAAGCCCTTCGATTCAACATCCCTCAACCGACCACATGATCTGGTCAAGAACCCAAGCTTCGCATACTTCAAGACGATTACCGCACGATTGGGAAGGCTGCTGTTTGTGAGTGCACACTGCTTCTGATGTTTCCAGGAACTCTTGTTGAATGGTGTTCACATCGGAGCGCAAGGTCTGGATCCCTCTCACTTTGCTGGAAAACGCTTCGATGGCTTCGGGGTCCCAGAACTGTAAGGAACTCTGAGCCCCGACACCCTCGATCGGAGTTCTGACGGACCGGGTCTTTCCCACGCCCAACACAGAACGGCGGCAACCCGGCACCTCGCAGCATCGCCTTCCGCGTCCATGGTGGATCTTAGCAATCAATGCGAGGATGGGGCTCCACCACGAGCGCATCCTCTTTGCACCGGGCATGCAGCAGCTGAGGAGGTGGCTCAGGCTCCAGCTCGCCTCGGATTTGGCACACCCTGGCCTCCCCACTCGACCTCTGACTCCCGCCCGCTCTTTAAGTCCCGCGCCCATGCCAGGCCAAGAACGTGCTACAAATCAGCTCGTGTCGAAGAGTTTGAAGTGTGGGTGTTGACTTGCTGAGTTGTGCAGTTATGCTTGGTGTGCCTGTAAAAACCACGGCTCAGAATCTCAGATCGAGCCGCAAATTTTTCAGTATCGAAACAGGGAGTGACCAAGCACCGGCCATCTTTAGCCGACACATTATACTTTTTCAGGCATTGTAGTTAGTAACGTACCTACTTGGAATACTTCCCTTTCCGCTTCCGAGGAAGCGCCCGGAATCAAAGATGCCTGCCCCCGTCCTGCTCGCTGGCTGCTCGTCTGCAGAAACTAGAATCTAGCATGGCTCGAACGTTGCAAAAGCTACACCGCTACACCCAAGCCGGGACAACCAAGTGCTCGTCGAGACTTTTCTGAGTCTCGGAGGGCTTTTGCAGGTCAGCAGGCATTCGAGTCAGGCTTTGCCGTCCCCGCGCCTTGGCTGCGCAGCCATTGCAAAGCCAACCTGCAGGAGGGTTGGACGTAGTGGCAAACCTTCTCGACGAACTCTCGTCCAGCCCTGCTGCCATGAAGTCTTTCGGGCAAAAGGTTGCTGCAGTGTTCAAGTTCGGTTGAAGTCTCTGAGCGTATCGAACCGGATGCTACAAAATGGTGTCACGCCAGGTCAAGCTGAGTAACTGCATGAGCAGCGGACTGTGGGCCAATGTGTCAACACCCATAACACAAATACCAATGTTTCCCACCCTTTTGCATTTCAAGCCTTCGTGCTCTGTTGTCACGCTCATTGCTGCAGGAAACTGTCTTCCGACGTAGATTTTCATTACATGACAATTCCCACCACTGCATGACTGTCTGCGAAGACATACGTAATTTGGGGTTGCCATTTCCAGCCTGCAGGTTCTCACGGTCATAGACCGTGTAGTACCTCCCACAGATGACATGGATGCGTGACACTCGTAGACCCAGGAAAACTAGAAAAGCGACAGCTAAGCCTATCGCCTATCGGCAGGCCCTGACCCACGGTACTCGCAGGGCACTTGCGCAGGAGAGGATCGCCAAAGATAAAGAGGGGCCCTTTCGGCGGTGGCACGTCCATGGTCATCAGCGACAACTGGCCAGCAAATTCCCGGAGCAACCCGGGAACAGGCACTTTTGCGCCATGCTTCGCGACGATGAGCAGGCGACAGCACTGGTCAATAACAAGTGCCGGCATGACCGTGCACGTATGGCCGTCACGGTCGACGTAATCCTGTTGCGAGTTGCAGCATGAGCGGGCCATCAGCAAAGAATAGAATGCTGCGATCAATAAAACGCTTGCCGACGATGCTCTGGGATGGGCCTCTGCTGTCAACTTCAAGGTGTGGCCAGCCATGACGAACCCGAGATCCTGGAAAGCAGCTGAGGGAGTCTTACCTTCAAAAGGCTAAGGCTAAGTCTCGAGAGACTCGTGCCAGGCCCTCGGCCCTCCCTGGGAATGTGCGAATGTATCAGCTGCAAGCTTTCAAACATTCTGACGGCCAATTCAGCCCCATGTTCAGGGCAGAGGAGGGTTTGTCGATTTAAGAAAGTGTGCTCAACAGTTTGCCGCGAAAGAAGATCCTGCACTCTCGTTATGTTCTCGTCATCCTCTTTGGATCACCCGTCTACGAGTGCTGGTTCACAACCTGCTCCGCGTTCTCTTCTCTGGCATACTTGAGTCTGAGAGGCACTACTGATGAAGGCTGTTTGCCAAACGACAACTGGCCCCAGCACGCGCGTAGGTGACGCGAAAAGACTCACGGTAGGTACCTACAGTCTCAATTCCCAGGATCTGGATCTTTCCTGTCCCGGTTCACCACATCCACAAAGCATCTGCCGTCATCGCAGACTGCTGTTCCCGGCTCGACCAGCTCTGCGTTGAAGCATCGCCGACACACGGATGGTTTTTCTGTCCAAGATGAATGGTGAAAACACTTGCAGTAAGCAAATATAAAAAAAAAAAACACTAGTGGCCTACGGTGACATTGTCTGTGTCGATGCTATGAACACCCCAGGCCCAGAAATGAAGCTATCGTTGCAGATTCTTGGTCTTGAAACCTTTGAAACATGCTGTAGCACTGTGGCAGGGTGATACAAGGCCCGGTCCGGCAGCGAGTCGAAGTTGGAACAGTCTTCCTTGACGCCCAGCCTGCACTTATCTGTTCAGGCGATGTAAAACTGGAACTTGCAGAAATGAACCCACATCCCTGTAAGAAAACAAGCAGCGCCAACAGCAGCTCGCACCATCTCGCTTTGGTCCGCTGGACTGAAGTCTCTTCTGAGTTCTGTACAAAGCGGTTTCGGCCACAGCGTCACACAATAAATTTCGATCACAACTGGGGCCAGAAATGCTCCGGCCGTCATTTTAGGAGATGCGGCGGCCATCGTTTGAACTCGTGGTCCTGGAAAAGGAGCTGTGAAGCTGTGAGTTGCTGATGGCACTCCGTGACACTCTAGGAGCAAGACTCTTGTCCAACAAGACAGCGACAGCAAGGGATGCTAGTCGTCTGGCTGCAACATGCCGCAATCGCAAGTCTCCCGATCCGGCCTTCCGCAGGCGGATGCACACAACCCTTCGCCCACCGCGGCTTTCGATCTCCCAGTCACTCTCATCCTCGTCGATCTCCAGGCCGGGCTCTCCGTCGAAAACGGCCTTTGAACAGTCGGACCCACCGGGCGTAGAATTGAGTCTCGAATTCTCCGCTCCAGGAAAGGCACTTCACCGGCTACTGCAGCAGAGATATGAGTCTTCAAGAGCCTGAGCCCACAGTTTGCTGCTGTTTCTAGACGACGTAACTGATGCAGTCAATACAGGGATGGCAGGGGGCATTACGACATGCCGTGACATGCCCATGTTCGCAAGCCATGCAGGCGAGAAACAAGCAGTCGACATCCCTGCTCGAAACGGCAGGATCGATGGGAATGAAGACGAGCATGTCCTGCCCAGCAGAAACTACCACCTGTAAGCCACGAGAAAGCATCAAACGTTCTGTGATATTCTGTGTACGAACTGACACGTCACTTGGTGCCATTGACATTGCCACCCCAACGTCGCTTTCACCGCTACCAGCACCGCGGCCACCGTCACCACCACCACCAC